TACAAACTAGTGAGAATCCGGGAAGGTGACAAATGGAAAAATGGCCTTATCGAACCCAATTTGGCAATTTTGAATATCTGGTAATGCCTTTTGGGTCTCTGTAATGCCCCAGCAACCTTCCAACACCTGGTAAACGATATATTTCGGGATTATCTGGATCTATTTTCTAATCGTTTATCTGGACGACATCCTGGTTTTCTCCAGTTCCATAGAAAGTCATCGGTTTCACGTAAAGAAAACTACGATAGACTACGCCAGCATCATCTCTACGCCAAGGCCAAGAAATGTGAATTCGAGAGGCAATCCATCCAGTTCCTTGGGCTTGTGATCACTTCTGAGGGCATCTCTATGGACCTCCAAAAGGTGTCCGCCATCTTAGAATGGCCCATTCCAGGAGACAGGAAAGCAGTGTAGCGCTTTATAAGGTTCGCAAATTTCTATAGGAAATTTATCAAAAACTTCTCTGGAATCATCACACCAGTGAGACAGCTCACCAGGCAGAATATTCCCTTCAAGTGGACTCCTGAGGCCAAAACAGCCTTTGAGCAATTGAAAACCATGTTCATGTCCGCACCCATCCTGAAGCATCCTAGCCTTTGTCCTTGAAGTGGACGCTTCGGAAAATGCGGTAGGAGCCATATTGTCATAAAGACAGGGACTCAAATCCCTTCTACACCCTGTCGCTTTCTTCTCCTGGAAATTAAGTGTTTCGGAAAGGAATTATTATGTGGGAGACAGAGAATTACTAGCCATCAAGGTAGCATTGGAAGAATGGCGCTACTTACTGGAGGGAGCATCCCATCCTATTCTCATCTTCACGGATCATAAAAACCCTAGAGTACCAAAGACCGCAAAATGCCTCAGGCCACGACAAGCAAGATGAGCATTATTTTTCCTCTCTCTTCGTCTTCTATCTGACGTACCGTCCTGGATCAAAAAAAAAAAAACGGTAAACCTGACGCACTCTCCGTATGTTTCCTGACCCAATTGTGCAGTCTGAACCCGACACGATTTTGCCAGCCAAGAACTTCTTACTTCCCCAGACAGACCTTGTAACGGATATAAAAGAAGCCGTGGATAATCATCCACCTCCCATATACCTGCAATTAAAGGACGGTCTGTACTTCCACAAGGAACAGATATTTATGCCCGAAAAACTTTGGACTGTTATTCTCCAGAGATGTCACGACCATCCCTTAGCAGGTTACTTTGGGATTCACAAGACTTTAGATTTGGTCTCTCACTCTTTCTGAAGGCCAAACGCAATAAAGGATTTCCAGGACTATGTGAAATCTTGCACAGTCTGTCTGAGGAACAAGTCTGATAAATCCAAGACTTGGGGCCTGTTGGAATCCTTGCCCGTATTGGAAAAACTTTGGAGTATGATCTCCATGGACTTTATTGTTGAACTTTCCCCATCAGAGGGATTCACCACTATTTTTGTGTAGTAATTGATCGCCTGTCCAAGATGGCCCACTTCATTCCTTGAAAGGGACTCCTTCTGCCACAGAAACTGCCTCCGCTTTCATCAAGGAGATCGTAAGACTACATGGCATTCCCCTGAATATTGTGTCTGATCGAGGAGTGCAGTTCACATCCAAATTCTGGAAGGCTCTGTGTGAGGCATTAGAGATCGAGTTACGCTTCTCCTCTGATTATCACCCACAAACGAATGGACAAACCAAACTCTGGAGCAATACCTCCGATGCTTCTCCTCATATTCACAGGATGACTGGGCATCGCTCCTTCCATTAGCGGAATTTGCATACAATAATTCCATTCATTCCACCACCAAGCAATCTCCCTTTTACTCTTAACTACGGATACCATCCCTCCTTTCTTCCAGAAATACCAGTGGAGGCCGCTGTTCCAGCAGTACAAGAAAGGATGGAGTTCCTCAGGAGGAACGGTGAAGTATTACAGAAGATGATTTCTAAAGGCGAGTAACAAAAAATGTTTTGACAGAAAGAAAAGGGGCAACTTGAAACTGAAACAAGGGGATAAAGTCTGGTTATCCACGGCTAATCTGAAATTAAGTTGTCCATCAAAGAAAGTTGGTCCAAGATACCTGGGACCATTCACTATCAAGAGAAAGGTGAACCCTGTGGCCTTTGAATTGGAACTACCTGCTAACATGAAGATTCACCCGGTATTCCATTGCTCCCTGTTAAAACCATATATCCCAAGTGGGTTTCCCAACCGGAATTCGGAGGCGCCCGCTCCACTGCTGGTTGAGGGAAATGAAGAGTACGAGGTGGAGGCAATCTTGAATTGTAGAAAGAGGGGCAGACAGACCCAGATCCTCATCAAATGGAAAGGTTATGGACCAGAGGATAACTCCTGGGAACCGTCTACTAATGTCCATGCCCCACGGATAGTTCAAGCCTATCTCTGTCGTCACCCTGAAAAAGAAGCCCTAGTGGGCAGCCGGAGGCTGCCCCTAAGGGGGGGGCAATGTAAGGGATTTCCAGCAAGACGAATTGTGACTGGAAATGCACAATCGCGCACACACATGGTGAAGATTGGCACCAGACAGCCTATTTAAGGACTGTCTCTGCTCATGTTGAGTGCTGACTGGTCTTCAGCTCCCCCCTGTGTCCTGCTTGTTCCTGTATGATTCCTTTGTTGCTGACCCAGCTTGTTCCTCACCTGACTCTGATTGCTCTCCTGATAATGTTTCCTGACTTCGGCTCTGCTCCTGACCTTGGCTTTTCCTTCTGATTCTGTACCGCGCTGCCCGACTGTTGACGACCCTGGCTATTCCATGACATTGCTCCTATCTCTTGTCCTCACTACCTGCCTTGCTCAGGTGCACGCCTGGCAATCTACAGGACCCGCTCTGCCTACTACTACTGTGCCAAAATCAGAGGATCATCAGCCTTTCAAGATATTCTTCAGCAAGAGCTGCAAACAACTACTGGCACTCTTGTTCCCCTGGGTCCTAGACACCCTCTGTTCCTACTCCAGCGGGGTCAGGACTAGTGACACAAGTGAGGTCGACCTCGTCATTTCAGTCTCCCATCGGGTACGTGACACCGAACCGCATTTTTGGGGCTTTCAGTAACCGGGCCTCACCCTACTGCAACTGCATCTACTTAAACCTGTCTAAGAATTTCCATCCAGCCTTTGGATAAACCGCCTCATTCAGCCATTTGGGGCCCGCAACTTTTTCTTCAGGCCACACTGCATCCAGCCTGCATTCAGTACCATGTCACCTGCTATCTAACCTGATGTTACAGGTTCTCTGCTGTCCAGTTTGGCTCCATAAACTCTATGCCTGCTAACCAACCTGACTTTGCTGATCCCCTGACCATTGCCCAGCATGATACTCCTTTGCTGGAAGCCCAGCTTGATGGTCCTTTGTCCTATGCCCAGCCTGATGGTCCTGTGCCGGATGCCCAGCATGCATTTAAGGGTCCGTGGGTGATAGTGTGTGTAATATGTGTTTAAGCTCCCTGTCTGTCTGTCCTGCTCTGCTGTTTGTATTCCTCTGTTTATGACCTTGGATCAGATATCAACTACTCTCTGAACTCTGCCTGTCTTTTGACCAGGGATTGGACCCTGATTACTCTGAATATTGCCTGCCTTGTCAATCAAATATTGCCAAACACAACAGCGCTCAAAATCTTGGTGCTTCACAATTCCACATGGTGTCTGTCACTTGATGGGGTTCAGCCCTCCACAGATGGGGGAATCTGGGAACTGTCAATGACAACACACAAGAGGGTGCATTACCGTAATACCAAATTTATTAAAAGATCACAAATAGAATCTCACAAGCCGACCATAAAAAAACAGACATAGAGCCAGATCTTCAGTCCCGGACAATGGGGTCCTGTCCCAAATACTGCCTGGTTGGGAAACTGATGCATTTCGGGAGATGAACTCACCTTGTACCTGGACTGTCATTGAACCATTCTGCCTGTCAGCCAATCACAAGTACCTGTTGCTGTGCTCAGTTTGCACCTACCCTGGTGTGGTAGCCAGGCACTATAGCATTGTGTATCAGTCCTGGGGGCACCGAGTACCAGTAGGCCTGCCTACCTTATGGGAAAGGGGCTGCTATAGGTAAGGACCACAGAAGCCAGATATAGCGTCCGACCACCTGTGTTAGAGAGACGTGTGACAAGACCTCCAAGTGTTTGTGAAAATCTCCCACCACAAAATGTACTCAGCCAATGACAGGGCAGGACTCCATTTTTTATTCTTCTCCTGCCATCAATGACCAACCCGGTCCCACACTTCATCCATGTCTTGGTGACCTCTGATCTCCTTATGAACTGTTTCTTCCATGATGAAGATCAGCCATGGAGTATATCTGAGGTGTATATCAGGGTGTGCTTCTTCCCCACATGAGAGCTGGGATGTCCCAGCAACATTCATCTAGAAGACATTTCCCGCACTCAAGGTACTAATACACCTCCAGGGTTGTGTGGGACCCCTGATGTACAGGAAGACAGGACTTCAGTGAGGAACATTTCCCTCACTCAGGACAGGAAAGTGGCTTCTCCCCTGCATGAGATCTCTGATGTTTGGAAAGATGGGACTTCTGTGAAAAACATTTTTTTATGTTTTATTTCCCGCACTCAGGACAGAAATATGGCTTCTCCCCTGTGTGAGATCTCTGATGTGTGTGAAGACTGGACTTGTCTGAAAAACATTTCCCACACTCTGGACAGGAATACGGTTTCTCTCCTGTGTGAGATCTCTGATGTCTGCAAAGACTGGAATTCTGTGAAAAAGATTTCCCGCACTCAGGACAGGAATACGGCTTCTCCCCTGTGTGAGATCTCTGATGTGTGTGAAGATTGGACTTGTCTGAAAAACATTTCCCACACTCTGGACAGGAATACAGCTTCTCTCCTGTGTGAGATCTCTGATGTTTGCAAAGACTGGAATTCTGTAAAAAACATTTACCGCACTCTGGACAGGAATACGGCTTCTCCCCTGTGTGATATATCTGATGTTTGTGAAGACTGGACTTGTCTGAAAAACATTTCCCGCACTCAGGACAGGAATACGGCTTCTCCCCTGTGTGAGATTTCTGATGTCTGTGAACACTGAATTTGTCTGAAAAACATTTCCCACACTCAGGACAGGAATACGGCTTCACACCTGTGTGACATCTCTGATGCTTGGAAAGATTGGAATTCCGTAAAAAAAACACATTTTCCACACTCTGGACAGGAATACGGCTTCTCACCTGTATGTGATATCTGATGTTTGTGAAGACTGGACTTATCTAAAAAACATTTCCCGCACTCAGGACAGGAATACGGCTTCTCCCCTGTGTGACATCTCTGATGTTTGGAAAGAGTGGACTTCCATGAAAAACATTTCCCACACTCAAGACAGAAATATGGCTTCTCCCCTGTGTGAGATCTCTGATGCGTGTGAAGACTGGACTTGTCTGAAAAACATTTCCCACACTCTAGACAGGAATATGGCTTCTCTCCTGTGTGAGATCTCTGATGTTTGCAAAGACTGGAATTCTGTGAAAAACATTTCCCGCACTCTGGACAGGAATACAGCTTCTCCCCTGTGTGAGATCTCTGATGTTTGTTAAAGACAGGACTTGTCTGAAAAACATTTTCCGCACTCAAGACAGGAATATGGCTTCTCCCCTGTGTGAGATCTCTGATGTTTCTGAAGACTGAACTTGTCTGAAAAACATTTTCCCACACTCTGAACAAAAATATGGCTTCTCTCCTGTGTGAGATCTCTGATGTTTGTAAAGACCAGACTTATCTAAAAAACATTTCCCGCACTCAGGACAGGAATACGCCTTCTCCCCTGTGTGAGATCTCTGATGTGTGTGAAGACTGAACTTGTCTGAAAAAAAAACATTTCCCACACACAGGACAAGAATACGGCTTCTCTCCTGTGTGACATCTCTGATGTTTGGAAAGACTGGACTTCCATGAAAAACATTTTCCACACTCAGGACAGAAATACGGCTTCTCCCCTGTGTGAGATCTCTGATGTGAGTAAAATCTGGTCTTCTGTGAAAAACATTTCCCACACATCGGACAGGAATACGGCTTTTCTCCTGTGTGAGATATCTGATGTGTGTAAAGATGAGACTTCTGTGAAAAACATTTCCCACACTCAGTACAGGAATACGGCTTCTCCCCCGTGTGAGATCTCTGATGTATGTAAAGATGGGACTTCTGTGAAAAACATTTCCCGCACTCATGACAGGGAATACGGCTTCTCTCCCGTGTGAGATCTTTTATGCACATTAAGATGGGATTTAGAAAGAAAACCCTTCCCGCACTCAGTACAGGAGAACTCTTTCCCTGTTGGAAGGCCGCCCAGTCCCGCACGGTCTGAGGTTCCTCAGGATACGAGGAATCTGATGGTCCATCTACACTGGGTGGTGCCGGATGGACATTGGAGGGAGCCGGGTTTTCTCCTGGACTATACTGTGTGATGTCCTCATCTTCTACTTCCAGTCTGGAGACAAAGTGAGACAATCCTCGGAGGTTTTCCTCATCTCCCGGCCATGGACTAAAATACAAAGACAAAGAGGATTACTAGACAGGAGCTGATTGGTTCCCCCAAAACCAGGACTCCGCCCCACATCAGGCAGCTTGGTCTCTGAGGAGCTTACAATTCCACCCTCAAGGGAACTAGGAAAATGGCTCCTCTGATCTCCTACCAGGTCATTTTCTTTATTCATGGACTTTAGTCAGAGAGTGAAGAAACAACCAGAACTGTCTTTTATAGGAGGGACAGTGATGAGGGGATCATTTTCCTCTCCTCCGTTCCCAAAATCCATTCACTATATCCCTCTGCTCCTCCCAAACAATTGTATATTGTGTCCTCACTGCTTCCTTCTCCCCCCTACGGCACCCACCACCTCCTCCTATACTCCACTCTCCCACTGACCGAAACACCTCCACTAGTGGTTTCTCACGCTCCTGCACATCCCGCTCCCATGCCACCTTTCTCACCCTTCTCCTCCTCCTAGCCGCGGGGGGACATCTCCCCCGAATCCTGGCCCTCCACCACCTCCCTCACCCGCACAACACCCTCCCGCCTCCACGTCCTACTGCAACCCCCGCAACTTAGTGTCTGTCCCCCTGCTCCCTCAAAATCTCCCCCCCATTTCATGTGCACTCCTGAACGCCCGTTCGGTGTGCAACAAGCTTACCGCCATCCTCGACCTCTTTGTTTCCCGCTCCCTCAACCTCCTAGCGATCACAGAAACCTGGATCCAGGCCACTGACTCTACCTCCCCTGCTGCACTCTCCTATGGAGGTCTCACCTGGACCCACTCACCCACGGTCGTAAAGGTGGTGGGGTTGGTCTGCTCAGTCACGCGCAGAGCACCTTCCGAGTCCTCCCAAACCCCCCCTCCCTATCCTTCTCCTCCTTCGAGGCCCACTGTGTGTCCGACTATTCTCCCCAACCCCCCCTGAAGATTGCTGTGATATACCACGGCCTCCTGGATCCATACCCCGCTTCCTGGATGACTTCTCCTCCTGGCTACCTTCTTCCTCTCCTCTGAGCTACCCACCATCATCCTTGGGGATTTCAACATCCCTGTCAACCTCGACAACCCAGACACAGCCCGTCTCCTCCACTTAACCTCCTCCTTTGCACTTGCACAGATGCCATACAATCCACCACCCACTCCGACGGTAATATCCTTGATCTTGTAGTCTTCTCCAACCGCTGCGCTCCCCACAACCTCTCTAAACACCCCCTTCCTCTCTCTGACCACAACCTGATTACCTTCTCTATCTCCTCGTCCTCCAACGCCTACCCCTCCCAAATGTCACTACTACCAGCCGTAACCTCCGCAACCTTAACCCTGCCCCCCTCCACTCTGCAGCTGATCAACTCTACGACCGCATCCTCCCCTGTCCTGCCCCGACTTGGCTTTGACCGCCTACAACAATGCGCTCTCAACAGCCCTTGACTCACTAGCGCCTTTAACCACACGCAACATCAGACCCCGACCGCTCCAGCCCTGGCAGAACTGATCACACCAAAACCCTCAAATGACACAGTCGTGCCCTGGAGCGACTATGGCGCAAAACCAAATCCCAACAAGCCTTCACCCGCTACAAATCTGCCTTCCGCACCTACACCTCCTCCCTCCATGCTGCCAAACAGGCCTACTTCTTGACCCTCATCAAGGCCCTCTCCTCCAATCCCCCGCTGACTCTTCTCTGCCTTCAACTCTCTACTCTCGCCACCCCCACCTCCACCCAGCACCTCACTCACTGCCCTTGAGATTGCCAATCACTTCAAAAACAAGATTGACACAATTCGCAAGGACATTGCCGCAACTCACACACCCTCTCAACCCGTCCCCTCTCACACAGCTACCCCCTCATCCCCCCCCCCCCTCTACATAATCCGCAGGGACTTCGTCGGCTGCTCAAACTCCCTCCAACCCCCTTCACCCTCACTCAGCTACCCCCTCATCACCCCTCTCCCACGGCCCCACCACTGCTCTGACCTCCTCTTCCACCCCACCCTACATTCCTCATACTGAAGCTCCCCCCACACTCCGCACCTTTGACCTTACTACCATCGAGGAAGTCTCCAAGATCCTCTCTGATGCCACCTCACCACCTGCCCCCTCGACCCTATCCCCTCACAACTCCTACGACCTCCCTCCTCCTCCATCCTACGCTCCCTCACCCACCTCTTCAATCTTCCCTCTCCTCAGGCACTTTCCCCTCCCCTCTGAAACATGCACACATCACCCCCATACTTAAAAAGCCCTCCCTGGACTCCAATGACCCGATCAACCTCAGACCCATCTCCCTGCTCCATTTACATCTAAACTCCTCGAGCGCCTAGTCTACACCCGCCTATGCTCTCACACTCAACGACAACAACCTCCCTCGATCCCCTACAGTCCGGCTTCCGTCCCCTACACTCCACCGAAACTGCCTTACTCAAAACTCTCCAACGACCTGCTAACCGCCAAAGCTAATGGCCACTATTCAGTGCTCCTACTCCTTGACCTCTCTGCGGCCTTCGACACAGTCGACAACCCACCCCCTCCTCCTCAAAAAAACTACACTCCCTCGGCCTCAGAGATTCTGCTCTCTCTGGCTCTCATCCTACTGTCACAACGCTCCTTCAGCGTTACCTATAATGCTACCACCTCCCCTCACTCCCCCTCTCTGTTGGGTCCCTCAAGGCCTCCGTCCTCGGGCCCCTTCTCTCTCCATCTACACCTCCTCCCTTGGCCAACTCATACACTCTCACCGGCTTCAACTACCACCTCTATGCCACACGAACACACAAATCTATCTCTCAACCCCCCACCACCTCACCCCCTTGGTCTCTGCCCGAATCACACACCTACTGAGCGACATATCTGACTGGATTGTCGTTTCCACTTCCTTAAACTGAACCCTCTCAAAACCGAGTTTCTTGTCTTCCCCCCAGCCCAGACACCACCCCCCATTGATTTCTCTCGTCACATCCAACAACGCCACCATCAAAACCCGCCCCCGCAGGCCAGAGTACTTGGTGTCATTCTGGACTCCAACCTTCTCCCAGTCAGCCCAAGTCCAATCTTTAACAAACTCATGCCGCCTCCACCTCTGCAACATCGCCAAAATCCGCACGTTCCTAACCCCAAGAAACCACTACACAGCTCATCCACTCCCCCCCTCATCATATCACGACCTCGACTACTGCCAACTCCCTCCTCACTGGCCTGCCTCGCCGCTGGCTATCCCCGCTTCAGTCCATCCTGAATACGGCTGCCAGACTCATTCACCTTTCCTACCGCTCTGTCTCCGCCACCCCCCTTCTGCCAATCCCTCCACTGGCTTCCGATTGCGCAACGTATCAAATTCAAAAAATCCTAACGCTGACGTACAAAGCTGTCCACCATACTGCCAGAACTACATCACTGACCTATAATATCCAAAGTACACCCAACACGCACACTCCGCTCCTCACAAGACCTCCTTCTCTCTAGTTCCCTGGTCTCCTCCTCCCATTGCCCACCCTCCAGGACTTCTCCAGGGGTCACCCATCCTCTGGAACTCCCTGCCCCAACCCATCAGATTTATCACCTACTCTCCTCTCCTTTAGGCGCACCCTGAAAACCCATCTCTTCAGGGAAGCCTGGAGTGACCCCACCCTCTGCTAACTTGCTGACCTCCTCCACTCTCCTACCACTCCATCCCCCACAGCTATCTCCTCCTGTGCCACCATCCCCTCCCTCCTAGATTGTAAGCTTGAAAGAGCAGGGCCTCAATCCCCTCATGTTTTGCATTGTATTGGTATTGTTCTGTCACATGTTCTGTCCCCCTTTGTAATGTACAGCGCTGAGCACAAACTATTGGTGCTTTATAATACTGTATAATAATAATAATAATATAGGACGAGGGTCCCCACCCCCTCTATCACTCATCGCCATCTTCCCAACACAAGAAGTACTGCACTTCCTTATTTACTCCATGATTTAGTCATGAAGAACAGCGGGGCTGAGCCCCACCAGAGGTCAGAGAGTGAGGATGGGGGGAGAACAACCAAGATGAAGACTGGACTGATCCTGAAGACCACCATCATTGGGCTATTAAAAATAGTGCAGCGCTAACAACCTATACTAAATACAAATGAGATAAATGGAAATATCACATATAGAATGCACAATAAATATTCAGTGTTAGGTGCTCATACAAATGAATACTATGTTCAGCAGTCCATCATGCCAATGATGGTGAAAAATCACAGCAAAACTCAGTGAGGTGAATCACAGTGCCACTCAGTGTGCGGTCAATCCACAGATGGCCCAAGATGGCCCCTCACCTCCTTGATGCGGACCCACTGGGCCAAACAGCTATGTAGGTGACCTTATACACCCAATAAGGTATCATCAAAGGATGGAACGTATGGACAGATCCCTCCAATATCTTCTCCTATCTCCTAGGTACTTGATTCCACAAAACCGTTTAAGATACCATTAAAAAACAAAGAAGATTTCTCATAGTGTAATCCCAGTTTTCTAATAATAACATGAATATAAATAAATATGCCCACCCACTCACATGTAAAATGACAAAAATCAGCTTTTTCCCATATCATGGGTGTGTTTTCCATGGTTCTCATGCTAAGAAAGTGCGTACCTTAACGCTGTTTACGTCACGATCCACGTGACTTCCTCAGAGTAAGTGACTTACTGGATCGAGTACCTAGGAGATAGGAGAAGAT